TACATTTACACATTTTACTATCGCTCGTAAAAACACAAAAAAATGCAAATAAAACTGCACCATTTGCTCGTAATACGAGGCTGCCGCAGCTCTCTGCTGCTGCTGCTGCTGCTGCAGCTGCACAGTTGCACGTTCTCTTTGTGGCAGGCGGCAGGCTAGGCTAGGCAGTTGCAGGCTGTTGAGTTTGGAGGTTGTTGCAGAGAGATAAGCCCCCAAGTGTGGCCTGGGTGGGCGTGTTTAGCTGGCCATTAATTTGGCCGCCATTTGATTCTCTTTTTCTTGTGTGCAACACTAATTACGTGCCACACTAATAAACGAATTCGTTGTGTGGCCTTGGTCAAGTCAGGCAAGGAGTGTGGGCATGAAGAGGGCCACATGGTTAAATGGCAAAACAATAGTTTCCATGTTAATTGTTCAACTTATTTTATGGCAGCATGTTGCCCTCATTGATTTATGCGCATTTGCATTTTTTATTACTTTTATCTATTCTACATGAGTTCTACATGAATGGATTTCGCTGCCCCACCCGCTCGACCCGCACATGGTCACTTGCAAAAGCTCGCTGCTACAATCGGAGCAAGCTCAAATATTTCATTGCATACTTTTTGCTGTCTTCGTGTGTTGCCTGCCAATAGATGGCGCTTTGGTGTTGCCGTTTTCGCTACTCCAAAGCGCTAGAGGGCGCCAAAGTGCTAACACTTGAGTGTCAGATTAAGATTGGGGATTGGGTGGGTTTTTCTGAGATCTCTTTGCTAGGTTTCTATATATAGCAGCCAGACAGCGCCGTTATCTAGGCGCCATGGCTCTCACTCTCCCGTAACCCAAATACGCTAGAACGCTGGGGTTGTTGACCCAAATAGCAAAGTGCAATGAACTGCTTGACGGTCAGAGGCAGGAACACTGGGCAGAGGGTGGGCAGCAGGGAGACCACACCACATGACGTGCTAGAACTAGAGCAGGCGACAGAAAGAGCGAGAGGAATGGCAAGGAAGCGTTTCTCATAAACACAAAACTTAGCAACATTTTGTTCTTAAATTAGGACAACATTGTGCAATTTTTGAGAAAGCATTTCAACCATAAACATAGTCAAAAATTAGGCCAAATATGACCCAAAATTAATTATAGCAAAAAATTAAACGGTTTGTTTTTTTCCAAAAAATATCTTCAAAAATGTTTCCAAAAAACAAAAATGATCAAGCATTTCCCGTAGTTTCGTTTTTGTTTCATTCCCCCTGCTCAAGTCAACAAGAGTAGTCGGAAATGCATTTTCTAGAATTTTCTTTCCCCCTCTGTGCAGCCCAAATGTATGTTTTCCGTTTCCCCCTCCTGCACGCTATCGAAGTGCTGCTGCTCATGCTCATCCACCTTCATCTCCGCCCCCTGCTTAGGCTTTTCCTTCTTGTGCTCACTGACACATTCACACACCACGCCACCCGCCCTGCCCTTCCCTGCTCTTTGCTAGAGGGAAATGGTGTCCCGCATCGTCCCTCTCACGCCTAGACAATTTCATGCTACGCCGCGTCACTGCTGGCTGAGGCAGAGGCAGAGCTCAGTGGCAGAGCAACTGCAGTCAGTCGTTCAAGTGCATTTCAGAGCATTAACCTCTCTCTCTGTGCGCTTGTGTGTGCTTGGGTCCTAGCCTAACGTTTATGTGTCTCTCTCTCTCTCTCGCTCTCTCTCTATCTATTTGTGCTCGTTTTTCCATTGGTTTTCCAATTTGAAGTGCAAGCTAGTGGAAAACATCGAAAGGAAAATGACTGAATAAAGTGAAAGAGAGAATTGAGGTCTCTCCTCTACATGAGGGCGGAATGAGCAGGGAGGGAGATTACATTTCACTGATAATTTCATCTTCAAATTGTATTTCCCTGTTCTTCCTGCTTTTGCTTGTTGTTTTTTCCACCTCAAACATCCATTATCAGGTCCCGTCCCCGCGTCTTGTGGTTGCATTGATTGTGTGGCAGGCACTTTCAAAATTGATGCAGGTTAGGTCTGAAGCAAACAGAGATTACAGGGTCTCCCCTCCATTACGGATAGATCAACGAAAGTATACGATTTCCTCTCCATCGAAAACTACACTCCTCTTTCACATTAGCCCCTTCTCGCTCTGGCCAACGTTTCATATTTTGATTGCATTGAATCAAAAAAGCAGAGCGACGCAGCGAAGAGAGCGCAATGCGCTCTCTCTCTCGTATGCTCTTTGCTGTTGCTGCTGCTGCTGATTTCTTGCGGTGCTATGCTTGCTGCGTGCGTATGTACGCTGCCTCTCTGCCGCCTTTTGCTTTGACATTGAACGAGTTCATTCACATTTGCTGCACGCACACACGAGCACGGGAAACTACACGAAGCATAAACAACAACTGCCGAAGCAGCGCAACTGTCAGCGCGTGAGAGAGAGAGACAGAGAGGAAGAAATAAAAAAGCAGCGACAGCAAAAGAACGCAGCAATTTATGCATGTGTGTGCACGTTCGTGGGAGAGAGGGGGAGACACACCACAAGTAAAGAAATAAATAAAAATATGTTAAATAATGTGAAAAGAATAACAAACAAGTTAGATAATAATCTGGGAACGAAGGAGGGGTGTGGAAAGAGACACACGCACACACAGCACAGAGAAAGCAGAGCACAAAGAGAAATGAGCAATTGGGAATCAACAACATTATATTTGACTATTCCTCTGTGTTCCCTGCTTCGTCTAGTAGTCCCTCCCTCTCTTTCTCCCTTGCGCTCTAGCCACACAAAATGTTACCTGCCTATAAATTTGTTGTTGTTCTTTAGGAAATGTTTGGAATTGGGTCATTAAGGCAGGAATGTGTTAAGACCTCGATTAGGGGTGTCCCCACAGGCAACACAATAGTAGTAGAGCGATTAAGGACAGCAAAAGGGACAACAGGCGCAGATGAACTACAATTGTCAGATAGAAAGAAAAGGGAGTGTGAGGTGTAGTTGAGGGACAAAGAACCCAAACACTTGTATGAGATTTCCAAAACTTGAAGAAAGGGAGAGCCCAGAATTATAGCTACACCATAATTTAAAGACTTTACTTCATAGGCTCAATAGCGTTTAAATATTGTTTATTGTTCAACGTTTTCCGCCATAATTAATCAACCTGAAGAGCCCTCCAGCCGTTCTAAAACAATAAAACACGATTTCCACTCATAAACAAGTTCCAATTACGAATAGAAGCGGGTTTTCGGCAAACAAAGTGTAAAAATGAGTCAGCCACGGGATGAAGTCATTCATCAGCATAAAAAAAAACACACACATAAAGTAAAACGGAGAACATACGATGAAGTATCTCCAAAAAATTGAGGTCAATAGACAAAGCGAAGGTTGGCTGGGGGATCAGGTAGTAGGTAGTCAGAATATTTCGTTTCCTAAAATGGCCTGGGCGGAAATATTCGAAGTTCGAACCGAAACCAGCCACAATCCAATGCGGCGTATGAGCAATCTCCACCAAAAACTAGCTTCCTACTGCGAGACGTTGGAAAGAGAGAGGGTCGAGTCGATCGCCAACCTTGAACTTCAGAATAGCACGAGGGAAATACAAGTTATAGGCCTATTCTATTTAGTTATACAAACGTTTGGCTAATACACTCAAATTCCCGAAATTATCTTCCGAGAAACCCGCCACAAAAGCCAGAAAAAAAACTGGTCAAAAATGTCAATGAACTTCTTCTCCTTTCGATTTGGATTCGAATTCGGGTTTTGGGTTTAGTTCTGTGGGCAAAAGTCTGAAATTTCAGACGCGCAGACGGTCCACCAAACAGGAGACCAGAACAGAACAGAGAGAGAGAGGGAGAATGGCTGTTAACCTAATTCAAGGGCGTCATTGAGACATTAATACTGGACTCCAGCCCGGAGCGAAGTGGCTGCGAATATAAGGGAATAGGGCAAACTACTTTGCCAAGGTTAAGGCAAAAAGACCCAGGCCGGGGGATGTGCTCGTGACACGATCCGCACTCGGCATGCCATTTCAGCAGAGGGAAAGCGTCGTCTGCTGTAGCTATCGGAGTGCCTCCTCTATCGAGTGTTGGTCACGCGGTCATCTCTGTTTAAGTCCACAATCAGCAGCGGCTGCGGCGGGAGCGAGACGGATCACCGGTGGACTCTGGCCAGATCCGACTCCTCTCTGTCTCTCGCTCACTCCTGCCTGCTATCCCTTTCTCCTGGCTACACTGCTCTGCCCTGGGCGAATGAACTTGCCTGCATTTTCAATGTCACAGACGACAAAGGGCTCTCTCTCACAGCAGCAGCAGCAGCAGCAGCAGAAGAAGAGCGAAACAGCAGCAGCGCAGCTCAAGCTGAGATGAAGCTGAAGCAGCGGAGGGCAGAGCCAAGATCTGTTTATAAAGGGTGAGAAGTGGGATCTTCTGAGGAATAAACTAAACCACGGACCTCACCTTATCGATGCATATACCCTGGATAAGGAGTAGCAGGAAGGAGAGCAAGTAGCAGCAGGAGCAGGAGCAGGAGCAGAGGAGGGTTTCGTTCTGGTTTGGTGGTTGCTTTTATTTTTTCTTCCGTCTCCTTGTTTTTGGTTGTTGTTTTTTTTTCAGGACTGTTTTGTAGTCCTCTGCTTCTCCTTCCCGCTCTTCCCGCTTGCATTGTTGTTGCTTATTTGATTTATTTTATTGCGACGCAATTTTATGCAAGGACAATTCGCAGACAGCGACACAGTGAGCGAGAGACAGGGAGAGGGAGAAACGTCAGCGGCAGGTTTGAAGGGCAAAGGCAGGAGCAGGAGCCTGTTGCTGCGGGCTGGCGGGGCGGGAGGAACGCGAGGGCAAAATCAACCCTACTTTACCCTCTCGGCACACACAAAGCGAACCCTTGCTGTTCCTGGAGGTCAAACGAGTTCAATGTCAGGGCTCAGAGTCGCTTGTTGGTTGGTTGGTTGGTGGTGGTGCAGTGCAGTGCACGTGGCCCGCACACTTTATCCCCCTCGTCTGGCTACAGCCCGCCCCCTCAACCGTCTGTCTGTGGATTCTGAATAACTTACCTTGCAACCCTCGCAGGAATGCACGCCGTAATGGAAACCGGAGGCCTTGTCTCCGCAAACACGACACAGCACCGTGGTACCGTCAAATTCTGCAAAGAAAAAACATATAAGAGAATGTCAAGATTAATCAGATTGCGGATAAATTATTGAGGGGAGAAAAATCAAAGAGAATTTGAGTCTGGAAACTAATTGGAATTGTTTCCCTATGGCAACAGGAACGATACAAAAAATGTATGCTAATGGAATAACCAATGAACTTTAATTAAACTAATAGTTCCGCCTAAATTCCCATTTAAGATCCCCTTAAACGTTGAATACATCAACCAAATTTGACAGATCTATCGTTTGGCATTGAAATTTGAACCCGCATTTCTCAAGATCAAAACAATCAACAACTTTCATTATCACTTCCACATTCCCATTCACCATTTAACATTCACCATTACCGCCAAGAAGAAAGCAAACAACGTAATACTTTCTTTATGCTACAGATGCCAGGCAGACAGTCGTAACGAGAGGCGACGAAGAAAGCAGCAAAACGAAATGGGGGAAAGACCTCCTCAACACGCAAAACTTGTTGAACGCTGAACTTGAGCCCGTTCTTGGTCTGCTGGGGGAAATGTTATGTAACTTTCACCGGCGAGATAGAGGGAGAGAGGGCGATAAACAAGAAAACCCGTCAGGCAAGAAGAAAGTAAACAAAGGCAGAACGAGAATTCCCAGAGAGAGAGAGAGAGAGAGAGAGAAAGAGAGCATGTGGAAAACAAGTTTTGGCCGCCTCTCTCAGAGAAAGACTTTCTTTCAAACATGTTTTTTGTTTTGGTTTAAGCCTCGAAGAAGGTCTTTCTCTCTCGCTCTTTAAAGCTTTTTGTAACAACCAAAGAGAGGAAGAGCGAGATAGCAGCGCAGATTGAGGATGGAGATAACAGACATGCCACACGCTTTGTAAACAATTGTAAATGGCAAACAATGCTCATGATCTTCACGCTGCCATGGCCATCCCCATCATCATCATCATCAGCATCATGATCATGATCATCTTGAATCTGTATGTCTGTATTTGTGTTGTTGCTATTTCTGTGCCAGACCCCGCGCTCACCAGCAACTGCAACTGCATCTGTGCCTCTGCAAGTTCACTGACATTTCGCACTGCAGATCGTTGCACTTTTGCATGGAACAACATCAAGCAAAGGAGGGAAGAGTAGGAGCAGGGGATCGTGTGCACGCCACTGACTGAGTCTCTGCCATGTCTGAAGCACCACTCGGGTAGATTGCTGCAATAAGATACATAAATTATGGTGCTAAATGCATTGTGGCTGAGGATCACTGATCTACTTTCCATGCACTCTGCTAATTAATGGAGCCACAAATGGCTGGAAAACTGACTAGATCTTGGATAAAGAATTCAGTAAAATGAGCCTATGAATGCCTTCCAACTGGAGACACACGTTCCATTCTTATCTGAGCGGTCAAATCGAAAAATATTCCATCCCATTCCCTCGTTTGAACTTGAAAGATTTCATTTCAATTAAATTCACTTTTTTGTGTATTTTTTGTGGGGGTTCTGTTGTTGTTTTATTTTGGGCAAATCTCGTGGCACACATTTAAAAATATTTCGTTTGTGGGCGTCAAAATAATAGGAGGAATGCCTGTCTGTGCCTCTCGGTGCGATCTACAGAACACTCTCGGACTCTCTCGCTCTATCAAACTGGCAAATACGAATTCTGATTCTGATTCTGTTTCGGATTCCGAATTTATGGGTTTTCTCTGGGCTGTGGCTGACGTCATTGCCATTGTGATTTTATATGAAAGTAAAATATTATTTGTTTAAGAACTTTGCTATTGTAATGGATTACCAAATGGTGTTCTACCATAAACAAAAAGGCGACAAGGTCAGTGAAGAGGCCTGCCCCAGCCCCTGCCTCTTTCTGTATCTGTCCCTCTCCTCCTTGTCTACCCTTGAGAATTTTTGAGAACTAATCGGCGACACGTGTAACGGCCTGATAAGTACTAAATATCAATTCTATTTCCATTTTTTTGTGTAATAATAATGTGTGGATGGAGGAGTGAGGTGTATCGACGATAGTGGTGTCAGTTTTTGTGTGATAATGATGGCACTTGTGTTTTGAATGTTTTACGGGGTATCACGAAATTCATTGAGCATTATTGTTGGTAGATTAGAACCCTAGAGCTTCGATGATTCATGTGCTTGGAAATTGAATGAAAATTATATGAATCAATAACAAACATGTTAAACTAGATTTGTGGGTTTTCTATGCTGGTTTCCACAATTTTTAGCTGGGTTTATTAAAGCTATATGACAGTTCGCAGTATTTCCGAAGTTGTACCCATAAAATAATCTTCCCAGGATTATCAGCAGAACCTTTTTCTGTGGAATTGCTACCCAAACATAATATTTATGTATTTCCACCTACTTTTCGTATTAATGTTAGCTAACCAAATAATCTCGCCTCCAAAATCTATGAGCACTATCTAATACGCACCACACACACAAACACATGCGCTGAGCCGACCTTGAAAGTTTCATTCACTCCACACGAACAGTGACAAGGAAGAAAGAGTGTGCGCGATTGTAGGGGAGGGGGCAGAGTCAGGAACGTCCACATGGTGGATTGGATGATGGAGGAGGGCTGTGGCAACGGGGGGCACTATCAGCTAGAAATACGCCAAAGAGCAGCGGCAGAACAACAACAACAAAAAAGCACAAACAAACAAATGCCACAGCCATGCTCAGCCACGCACAAACACACGCACGCACGGCAACAATGCGAATACACGCTCAAAAATATGATATGACGAATAAAGAGAGAGCGACAGAGAGGAAACACTAAAGAGCAAAGGGGGGAAGCGCTAAGCAGGGGGATACCCTGTCATATTGGCAATGTTCTGTTTTGAATTCACAAAAAAAGTGACTGAAAGGGATCAATATTTTGGATGGAGAACAAGTTGATACCCTGCAAGATCTACTACATAATAAACTCAAGCTACACTTTGTTGAAATATCTAAAAATAAATAGCTATTTTCCTGATCTTGCCACTGGTAAAACACATAATACCCTCAAAGCTAGTCCACCGCCAAAACAGGGTACACACGAAAAAGAGACTTTAAATTAAAATTTGACATTGAAATTTTTTTGCGGCTCTCTGTCTCACTCACACGCACGCTCATGCTCAATCAATAAAAGTTTTGCGCGCGTGCAGGCAGCCGGCAAGTGGAAGCGAGAGAGCGAGCGTGTGTTCTCGTTCTTGCCTCTGCTGCTGCTGCTGCTGGTGCTGCTGCTCTGCCTACACTTCAATGCGGAAATGTTCGGACAGGTTTGTGTTTCTCATTTCATTTCGTTTTATTTCGCTTAATTTTTGTTTTTGCTACCAGTTCAATGTATCGTTTAATCAACATTCAAAACCAACAACAAAATTATTCACAATTTTCGTTTCGTCAAGTTCAAAAAACGCAGCTGAGGTCAATCACAAGAGATGGGTGAGGGGGGCTAAGAGGGGTAGGGCGGACACCTTGTAAAATGTGGGCGTGTGCGCTCAGCCTTAGTTCGTCGCTAAATGGAATTTTTTGTTGTCATTTGTTGACTTTCGATTATGCAATATTTTTAGCCGGAATTAATGGATACTAATGACCCCACGACACTAAACCAGAAATTCGTTCTCTGTTTTTCGAGTGCATTGATCTTCGGTTTAATTTCGATTTTTGTCATGTCGGGGACGGGACGGAGAGGGCCTTGCACTTTCTGGATCAAAACTTTTGAACCCCACACATGTAACGGGTAGGGGGTTGTTGCTCGAGACGTGGGAACGTTTACTTTTGGCCGGGAGTGTGTGGAGTAAAAGGGAAAGGAGTGGAAGATTCCTGGGAGAGATTCCGCAACAAGAAGAGCGCTCATTTCAGAGCTAAATCCCTAAAATATTGCAGAAAATAATTCAGTGTTTTATATTCAAAATGTTATTTTTAATGCGACTTTCTTGGAGGATTATCCTCATCCTTGATCCCTGATCTTAGCCTCATTCCCACTGATCTGATCTGGCAACGACTCCTCCCATTGTCCGAAAGAAAAAGTTATCACAAAAAGTAAAAAAAATGCTTATAAATAAATTGCAATAAATACAAACGCTCCGTACACTCGGTGTAAAAATGTTTGCCATTTCTTGTGACTTTCAATTTGGTTGGTTAGTTTTCACTTTCTGTGCAGGTCTTTGGCCGCCTAATAAATTTCTAAAATGCACAAATAATTGTGCCAATAAAAATAAACACGATCGGAGTCAGAGAGTCAAATGCGATATGCTCGCCGCTCGTAAAATCGCATAAAGGAAACTTTCGCAAGAGTTCAAGTGGCCGCCCGTTGCGCCGCCGCCTACGAAAAACTCGGCCCAAAAGCCTGGCCAAAAGGAAAACGCGGCAACAGCCAAAAGAAAATAAACGAAAACATAAATAAAAGCTAAGCAAAAGCAAACGAAACTTTTCACTTGGACAATTGTAGCGCGAGGCTTGACTTTCACCGACATTCAGCAAACGCAGGCGGGACGGACGGACGGTTCGTAGGGGGCAGACGGTGCAGGCGGCACCTGGAGGAGTGGAGTGGAGTGGAGTGGAGTCATTAACCCGTTGCCATGTAAAAATGTCAAAGACAATTTGACAGTCCACAGAGGAGGATGTAGAGGGGAGGGAGGCGGTGTTTGGACCCGGTTTTGCCCGTAAATTGGCCGCGCATGCGCAGTCTTGCAGTCGGCGTCGGCGTCGGTGAAAAGTGAATTTGGCCGCAAAATGCAGTTGGCTTTTCACTTTCGTTCGTTTTGAAACCCGACTCTTGGCAAGCGGATGCACCCGACCTGGCCAAGAGCACACACACAATACACACAAACACAGACACACAGAAATTCAAATCAAATGAATAACAAATAAATAAACCAAAGAGAAAGACGAGTGCAAAATAGCAATGGGGGATAGCAATGAACTTGGAAAAGACTCTTGTCACCGCCGACGATATGGATATGGCCTGGCCATGGCTATAGCTATAGATAAAGCGTCTCCCCAGGCTGGTTTTCCACCCAAGTGAAATGC